GGAACAAAGCCAATCTTAATAGTTACGACTTGGAATGCTTTGCATTATAATTGAGAAAATACGCCAGCCTAACTAACTGAATCTCGTATTGTGCTGGTTTACTGCTCAGCGTATCCTTTTTGGTTTTCTATTTTCTTCTGCAACGGTTAAAATATCTTGAGGAAGTGCGTAAGAAAATTGTTTAGATTTTTAATAGTCCTAGCTGTTTTCACATACTTATACGTGTACGGAAGACAGAGGCCGCCTAGCGGAAAAATTAATCATTGAAACGCTACTCGAAGATACCCCTTGAAACTACTTATAATGATTATGGTTCCATTTTACACTGTTTTAGACCCATCTTTTTCGTTAGGTACCCAATTTTTGTCTTCTTTTTGTCTGACATAAAAGCTAAAGCTTTTGTAAAATTAATTTGTATAAACCGTGTCTAACACGATCAACGACGAGAAAGTAAAACAAAGCGTAGAGCTAAGGAACGATTAATTGTTCATGGAAACGTTCAGATTATTTCAACTGCAGTTGAACGCTGGTTGTAGTTATTTCAACAGTCGACTGGGGAAATTATGAAACAAGAATACCTCATAACCCTTCTGTCATATACATATACATCTACATTCTCAAGATACAGTCTCTTGTCTGCAACGATAAATTAAACTAAGAACTGGCATAATTCATACGTACTCCTAGAGAACTGCAGTGTAACGGAAACGTCGACCATAAGAATTATTTACCGATTTTAACTTGGCGCTTTTACTTAAAACGAAAACTAATTTTTTTAATAAGCCACTTGAAATAAGACAAAACCAGATTCAGTTTTAATATAATTAGTCTTCTTAAACCTGACCTAATTTGAACGGATGGGTATTTGTGAACAGTACTCTAACCTAGGTCTACCTTCATCCCTCCTAACTCCTGTTTCTCCCTCTAATATGTCTCTGACTAGACCTTCATACATGAGAAGGTGTCCGACCAACCTATCTCGTCTATTTTTTATTGACTTCCATAGTCTTCTGTTCTCCTATTCTGTTTAATACCTCTTCATTTCTAACCTTTTCTACCCACGTTATCCTCATCATTCGCCTATAACACCACATTTTGAAAGCTTCTAACCTTTTCTTTTCCGCCGCGCCCACTGTCCATGCTTCGCACCCGTACATCGCCGCGCTCCAAACATACACCTTTAACAATCTTTTTCGAATTTCTAAATTAACCGTTCGCGAGCATAGAAGTGACTTCTTTTTATTAAAGGTGACACGGCCCTGCTTTATATCCCTACTACTCTTTCTGTCCTGACTTATCTGACTTCCTAGGTATCTAAAATCAGTCACTTCTTCTAATTTTTCGTTTCCTATCTTTATATTCTCTTTTTCCCTACTTTTTCTTCCCTTGCATACCAGTATTTTAGTTTTACTCTTATTGATTTTCATACAGTACTGATCTGTCAGTATCGCTTGCATTTTATTTAAATCTATCTCTAATTTTTGCGTACGTTGTACTCGGGATCATAATGTGGTGGTTTCCCGTTTCCTTCCACATTGCAGTATTGTGTAGAAATATTGACAATTTTATCATGGCGCTTCTCCATACCATAATCTATCATAATCCTCAAAATTCCATATTTTAATTAGACTTTTTGATGGTAAACTGATTTCCGAATATCATATTAACAGATGAGATAGTCACACCGATTTCCATCACATATACACGCTAGATCTTTCGTTTATTAGCGTATTATTATTTAATTATTTCATTTAATTGTTTTATCGTATTCACTTATCACCATTCTCTTCTTCCCAAATAAAAAGAGACGTTTGTTGTGAAAATTTCAAACCACTTTTCGGTTTTCTAAAACCGAAGATTTTATGTAGGTATCTCTTGTTACAATATTGACTTGTCTTTTCGTCTTAAAAGGTTTTATACTGAAAGGACTTGGCCGGAAGCATCTGAAGAATCGCGCAGAATTTATTATAAACTCTCTGGTCAAGAATGTTTCACATATATTTTGTGGAAATGTCCGCGAAAATATAATATCTTTGTCTGTCTTATAAATCAAGAGGAAAGCAATACATTAAAAGTTGCCGCTTTTTGCATTACGATCCCACGCTGTATATATGTATTTGTGTGTAGGGGGTGTAAGTATGTGTGTGTGTGCGTTGGAAAAGCCAAGGGCCGACCATCCAACTCCACGTTATTTATTAAGGTCTGAGGTTCACGAAAAGCGCCCTTGAAATGGGTATAAAAAGGCTTAGACAACTTTTCAGGAAAACACGGGACTACACGACCCATTTAATTCGTACTTCTCCAATACATTAAAATATCCATCGTTTTACGTTGCTGCAACTAATATTTTATATCAAAATGGTCTGTATAACAATTCTAGACGGTCAGTGTACATAAATACAGACCGAGGGATTCTCACCTTTAGATTTACATAATTGATGCTGACCCTTCGTATTTAACTGATAAAAAGGGGTTAAAATACTGGATAGTAATATAAAAGAAATTTTTGTCATTATTTGAATTTCTAGAGTTTTGTAAATTATTGAAAAGTCATTTTAAGTTTTCTTAAGTATTTGAAAAAAGAGTTATAGGGATTGGTATGTTAAAAAAGTTCCATCTCTTGATCATTGTAGGAAGTCAGAAGTCAACCCCACCCCCTTCCACTCATATATAATGACTCTCGAACATTCCACTACGTTCTGGACTCTTCTTTTTAGTACATTTTAGACCATTGCTTAGCATTGGGGAGAACGCCGGTTCGATTTCGGGTCCGTCTGCCATGGTCCAAGTTTTTCTGTGGTTTCCTTGGATCACTTAGGCAAATGCTGAGGCACTAATATTCCACAGATAATCTTTCACTCTCTTCTGTCTTCATTTCGTCCGTCTCAACTTTCTCACCCGAACTACCACCCACCCATTCCCACGATTCCTGAAAGCAGGTTGAAGAGGGCCTTCCGCCCTACCTTCCGGCATAGTCCGGAGGGACTGCCCGCCAACCAGCATTACTGGCTGGTGGGAATGGAACACCCAAAATGTTAAATGATGTTCCACTACGTTCTGGACTCTTCTTTTTAGTACATTCACCCTTATGCATACACAGATGCACACGTCTATTATTTGTATTTGAAAGAATAGTTACCAGGGATTGGTATACTAACAATCTTCCATCTCTGATCCTGGATGTGGACTCAGTCGCCACTAATTTGTCCTATACTTGTCAAACAATTTAGTATACTTCACTTTATGCGAACAGGAGTACATAAGACCGGAAGAATCTGGAGCGTTCTGGAATGTCCGAGGACCATTATGCGTGAACTATATTTTTCCGGTTTGATTACCGTGTGTGTGGCTTAACGGGTCAATCAGATTAATTACTATATTACCCATAATGTATTGGCAATTTCGCTGTCTGAGACGGCTGTTTTCATTTATACCATAGAAAGAAGTTGACCTATTTAAAATTCAATTCTAAAGCAATTTTTTACGTCGTGTCGCAGCCTGTAAAATTGTTAGAACAATTCAGGATTTGCTTCGCTTCTTCGAAATGAAATCGTCATTAATAAAACAGGAGGCCGACAACAAGCTTACAAGAACGATACCAGTTGAAAAACGGTCATCGATAATTTAAAGCTTGCTAAGCTTTAAAAGCTTCTTTATCTCGGACTGAGCAAAACGACTTATTAATCAACTCTCAGTAACTGTCAGAGCAAAAGTACTCGAACGATTCTTCACAGCATTCAGCTAGTTGGTTGTAACTACTGAGGTAGTAAAGGAAAGTTTCCATTGTTACGTACAAAAGATGAAGTTATATGTGTACATAGAAATTTCTACGTAGTGTTTCCAAGTCGCAGATGTTTTAGCAAGGAATTATCCTTTGGAGACATGAAGTGAATTGTTAGACAGGTGAAATACGACCTTAATCTGTGTAGTCATCATAACTCTGCATACGTACATATATATGCATTAATGAAGTTCCTTGTTCGCAACTGAATTAAAATTGATACGTCCTTAAATACATTAGTTGAAATTTGAGCAAATCTCATAACCGGAAGCGAATTTTCGCAAACATAGTTCGACAAGAACAAAGAAATTTTCCTGTCATAAAATATCAGAAAAGTCGTAATCCTAAGATTTTAGTATTTGTCATAACTTCTATCGAAACGTTACACAGTACCTAATATTCTTCTTGGTATAAATTAACGCTGCTATCTACTGTTCACAAATAGTTAAGGATGTGGTATACTCTAATTTTAGCGAAAGCCCAGGATAGGAAACAGTTTGGGTGCGTGTCCAGCCAGTCTTAAGATTGGCGACCTTATGATGATTATCTGCTATAGATAATAATCAGAGAAACTGGTCAATAAACCAAATAAGAATGCCAATTACAAGTGCATCTTACTTATGTTTTAACTACCTATTGAATATTAATTTATTAACAAAATGGGTTTCTTGAATTTGTTATCATTTTGTTACTCGACTATGCTACATCAGCAATGCACTGTAATTTGGAAAGATACAAATGCTATAAAAAACTAAACTGACAGTGGTACCATCAATTTAAGGCGATCAATAGTTTTTCTAAACGTTTATTATAAAATGTTGATGGTCAAAATTCATTCATCCAACCACTAAAAAAATCTTAAAACAGCAAGAAGACTCATTAATTATCAAGTGCGTGAACGGGAAGAATTCAAAAGTTTTACAAGGATAACAACTTTATAAAAGTAAGGGCACAACCCTACTTCTTAAAAAAAAGGGAAAATCGTTTCGGTGGTGTTTAAAACATTTACTTTTATGGGCACATCAAATTGAAATAATGCGACCTCACGCAGTAGCAAGGTAATATTACCGAGCAATAAATTTCGTGACTAATTTACGAACTTTTTATCGATTCAAATTCATTGATCCTGTTGCTGGATTCGCCATCTGTTTGTTCGTTGTCGAACTCTGTTTTAGTCGCCTGCCAATATGTCCTTACAGCTTGTTTCGTTCATTTGCAGGTTGCTCCGCAAATCAAGGCTGTAATGGTTAAGCACGGTTCTGTAATGATCGGATATCAACCTTTGAAGGAATTTCCTAACTTTTTCCGATTCGTTTCCCAGAACTCGGCACTCAGTTTCAAAGATGTCGACTTCATTCTGGATCACATCAGCGAAATCGGAAGAGCAATTTTTCAGTAAACGGTGTATTTTAAAGTAGCAATGAGTTAAGGTTCTTTTAGAATAAGATAGATAAAAACATACTCTGTACTGTTTAGTCTTGAATAAAAGCAAATAAAATGAGCATCTGACTATTCATCTACTTTTACTTTACAGAAGAAATTTTCATATCATTTTTTATTTAATCAAAAGGAATTTTCATATCATTTCTTATTTAATAAATTACTATTTTATACTGTTTCCCCGAAAGTACCACCTACCCCTTTAATAAACTCACCATCATTTTAAAGGATGGTTTTAGTAAAGGAGCTACCCTGAAAGTAGGACCTATTAAAAAAAAGCAATGCACTTGTGTTTTATGGGGAAGCCCAAAGTGCAGGATTTATAAATATTTAGCATCAAACAAGAGTCATTTTTGCTTTTGTTGATATTTGTGAAAAATCAGTGTATTTTCAGTTTTATAATCGTTGTTAAATATATTTTGTAGTATTAAGAAGAAACACACCTTCACTCCTTCCTATCTTGAGGTAATCTTCACGCTTCCCTGAAACTAGAACATCCCACATCCTTCTCGTACCTCAACTCCTCTTAACTTCTGTTTCTGCCTCTAATATGTCTCTGACTAGACCTTTATGCATGAGAAGGTGTCCTACCAACCTATCTCGTCTATTTTTTATTGGCTGTTCTTTCTAATACCTCTTCATTTCCAACCTTCTCTATCCACGGAATATTTTTAATTATTTGTGCAAATTAATTTTTCATATGTTTAACCATTAAAAATTCACTGATTACTCTTAAGGTATATTAGGGATGTATCTACTAGGGTCATTATATAAAACTAAGCGTATCATGTTATGGAACTACTTATCCACCCTTTACCTTGAAAAGAATTTAATCTAAAAGGAACGTATAACAAAAATTGCCCTGATGGACTCTTTCAAAACCTGTAGATATTATAAAACCTAAAAAATAAGAAGTACCATAAGTAATACACTATAAGCCAAGTATAATAAGCACACATTGTCTATACGTAAATTTGAATGTCGCCATATCCCTTAGAGACTTTCTGAACTCCCAATAAGCAACCTATCGGAAATACATCAGTAGCTACATCGATCACTACATTTACTATTCCTTCTAGTAGAATGAGTGTATTTTTAATAGACAGTAATACATTATCGAGTATAAAAGCGATATCAATAACACCACAGTTACCTTACCTTTTTTGCCACCAGAAGATATAGAATTTATATTTTTGATTTGTGCTTTATCCCACTGATAAATACGTATTAATACGTTTAAAACATCTTAAATATAGTTAATATATTCATCAGTAAGAACTTACGCAAAATTAAGCACATATTGTACAATTAAAACAAAGTAATATAAAAAAGTACTTACATTGGATCTAGTAGAATATTCCTACAGCACACACTGTAAATGACACGATTCAACTTAACCTAAAAAGGTATGCTTTTAACGTTCTCTTACACCAACTGCGATTAAACGACTATGGACGGACGGTGACTTGGCCGATGATGTAAATTGAGCTTAAGTGTTCCCAATCATTTATCATAGGCGACGAAACACACTAATAAAAACAAAAACTAAATATGTAAAGTCCGATTTATACTATCAGTCATGTTGCGGCCCGATCGTAGTCACTATAACGAACAGTCAAGTCGCGGCCCACTGTCGTATTTCTATCCAACGCTATTTTGATCTGACCATAACTGGACCAAGACTTAACCGATACTATGAATCGGATATAAATCACCCTATTTATTTGCTTACTAACGCCGTGTCCTGGATAAACATGAGATTTGCTGTGGGTGCGATACCCGCACCGCCCGCACTGCAAAATAATGCGACAATTGCGACAATGGCGAATGTTAATACGATAAAAGGGATGCGTCTGCATGGCTTTGGTAGAAACTTCACGTTCTTAATTGATAATGTTTTGACAAAACCGAAAATTTTAAAGAAAAATAATAAGTAAAGGAAAAGTAAACATGAAATTTATAGAGATAGACTACATTTTGGAGAATTATTCCATCTGTATCCGCAGTTACGGGTGTATAAAAATGACATTCGTCAATATACCAGAAGATTTAATTATATATAGAAGATTCTGTATTTCTTCATCATCAATTTGACTAATTAGGTATAATCATTAATTTGCCTTTCGTATGCGTAGAAAGAATAGAAGTCTGGAAGTCAATAGGAAATAGGCGAGATAGATTGGCAGAACACCTTTTGCGGTATGAAGAGCTAGTCAGAAATATATTAGAGGCAGAAACAGGAGGAGAAAAGAGGAGTAGAGGTAGGCCTATATTAGATTGCTGTTTACAAATAGTGAAGGATGTGGGTTGTTCGAGTTTTAGGGAAATTCAAAGATTAGCTTAGGAGAGGAAAGAGTAGAAGTGGCTGATCAATCAGTTTTAGGACTGACGATCTTATGATGGTGATGATATGCAAACATTTTTTTGCTGGAAAAAATAAAATGAAACCTGTTAAACTATTAATTAAAAGTGATGCAAATTGTCTATTAATTTCTAACATTATTTAACGAATCTATCTACTTGTAATTGGTTAAGTTACTTAAAATTCCTATCCTAAAAACAAATCTTGCATTTGAAATCACAATGAATAATATTCACAATAAATATGAATCGATCAGAGCACGTAGCATAATTCCAAATTTAATCATATTTGTCTGCGGAGCTCATTTCTCCACCGATCATCGAGCGAGAACTAGACAAAAGTGTACAGTACCATTTGCAAAATTATTTAAACTGCCTCGTTAAAATTTAAGAATATGCTTTATTTAAAAGCATATTTAGCCAAAAATAATAACAAGTGAATTAACTTAACGCTCTACACACCTATAAAACTTTTGCTTTGTTTTCTATTGTTAATTTATATACATTTTTGTTTTAAGAAATTGCTAAACATTTTGGTCTAGTAGTGTACAGTTCTAGCCGATGTCCTAAGACCGCCTATCGAGAGCTCTGCTCGTTCAAGCTTGTTCCAACTATTTCTGTCTTGCTCACGCCTAGTGTATATTCTTTCTATCTTTGCTCTGATTTCTTCAAGGTCACAATTCTAACAAATTGAAATAGACTGTACCTACCTGTACAATAAATGACCATTTCAAAAGTAGTGCTTATAAGTTACATGTTCTACGTATTCACCCTTGTAAATTATCAGGTGTTAATGGTACTACTCTATTTTATTGGTGAAAATAGACATAATAGTAACAGAATATAAACGGGGAAGCATCGCTGGCTGAAAGTGTTGCTGTCACCTCCAAATATTTACGGCACTATTTTACCTTCCCACTCAACAAACACAGAATGCACGTCGTTGTTTGCTAAAATACATTCTCAGAATCATAAAATATTGTAGGTAATGGTTGTAACATAGTAAAATATTACGTACAGGGCTTAGTTTTACTCAGTCGCTAGTACACGTGTTTGGCACTTTTTCCAGATGAATTTAGAATTTCGGATTGTGAAAATACGATGATTCAGCAGAAAACCTAGTTTTTCCCAAAAAATAGTGAAGTGTAATGTCCTATAACAAAATAGGAGTTCCTTATCATTTGAGACAGTAAACATGCATCAGTATAAACGTAAACTAATCGTCATGTTTAATAAGGACTTTTTTAATTAAGGACTTACATAAAATCCCTCTCAGAAAACATAAATCCGAAAGTGAACCTTCAGATACTGTTTATTGTTCAAAAACATCGCTTTTCAAAGAAATGTTCGACATGATCAAATTCGATTCAATTTGCAAACATATTTCATTAGGTATTGCAGATGTTCCGAAAGGCCTCCGCTTTCGAGAAAAACGTATTTGAAAGTACAGACAAGGGCTAGTCCAGCCTTGGTGGGATCACGCAAGGAAATGCGACAATGCAACTTAGCAGCATTCATATTTCTGTACTTATGTATTTTTTTTTGTAATTTGTTAGATTAGATTAAGTGTGTTTATGATTACAACCAGACTAGAGTAGTTCTTCGTTCTTTAACGTTATAAGCTCGTATTGCGTATGTATGTAGACAGTCAAAGTCATTAGAAGTAGGTCAATATGTCAGTGTCATAGGTCAGTGCAAAATACTGCTTATTATCAGCTATAAATAAAGTACTTATTTAATAAATTGTTTTCTCAATAAGCGTCTAAAGCAGTCACAACCGTCAGTGTTTACATTTTCCGTCGATGTAGCTGCTTAGATTCTATCCGAATTTCTATTTACGTTGCCAATTCACACTCAGGCTTCGGATTGCATCTTCGTCTAGTTTTATAACAATTTTATTTGTCCCTAACCTTACTACTTTATCCACCATGCACTATTCACATAACAACCCTATTGCAGCACCCTCCAAAGGTCGCTACTTATTTCAGAAATATTCTGTATATCAATAAATGTAAACGTAGCGCTGTGCTTCATTGTGTTAATTTTTTTGTATTTGATTAATATCGTATGTTATTTTCACACTTAAATTACTTACTTAAAATTACTGAAAATTATTCTATGAACTGTATTCCAAATGTGTGGGTATCATTATAATTTTATAAATTCCTCTGATTACATAAGAACATTTCACCACGATACGTCTTTCTCGTTTCTTGTCCTTAGGCCATATAATCTAAACGCATTTCAAACTTTACAGTGGCCATTAAAATCATTCATTGAAATAGTTCAGTCACAATTATGACTTCATTTTATAATGCTTGCCATTCATGGCATGTTATATATACGTACATATCGAAGCCTTCTTCCTGGCAGTCTGCAATAACGAGTGATCCGATTCTGTCTGTCTGTTATCGTGGTTTTCCAGCAAGGACAGTTCCAAGATAAATTTCCCTCCAAAGAAGATGTTTTATCGCGAAAAAGAACAACTTCAATTGCTGACATGAAAATACAAGAACTTATATAATAAAAGTTGGCCAATAAAATTGCTTTATATGGTTCATAAATTTTTAGTCGTAAAATGCTGAAATGTGCATGGAAGTAGTGCATTTAATGGAGGCTCTCCAATTCGGAGATCTATCCGTTTATTACTTTATATCTCGGCAAGTCGTTACA